GGCCTCCTACACTCTACTTTTCTCCTCCAATCCATTCTCCAAGAACTGGATGGTCTAACTAAAATATAAATTCTGAAGCTACCACTCTCCCTCCTAAAATCCTTCAACGGCTCCACACTGCCTTTTAAGAGGGCTACCAGGACCTGGCATCTTTGTTCCAATTTCTCACCTCTCCACATGGACCATATGCTCCAATCACATTTCGTCTAATAGGCCACATTCCATCTTGCCTCTCTGCTCTATGCTATTTTCTTCCCCTCTCTTGAAAAAAAAAGAATAACTATTCTTTTTCATCATTAACTCCTCAGTCTTAATGTCCCTACCATCAGTACCATTTTCCTGACACCCCTGAATGAACTGGGCACCCCTGCTATGTGCTCCCCAAGACACATATTTGACAAATCATAATTGGGCATCTACTATGTGCCAGGCACTGTTCTAGACCCTGGTGATACAGTAATGAATAAGATTATTAAGTCCCTGGCCCTACGGACCTTATGTTCTAGTGGTGGTGGAAGACAAAAAACAGGTAATTTCAGGTGGCCGTGAGAACTATGAGACAAAATAAAGGGGAAGGGGGATTTCCTTGGCGGTCCAGTGGTTAAGACTTAGCCTTCCAGGGACTTCCCTGGTGGCTCAGTGGCTAAGAATCCACCTGCCAATGCAGGGGACATGGGTTCAAGCCGTGGTCTGGGAAGATCCCACATGCCGTGGAGCAACTAAGTCCGTGCACCACAGCTACTGAGCCTGCGCTCTAGAGCCCGCAAGCCACAACTACTGAGCCCACGTGCCACAACTACTGAGCCCACGTGCCTGGAGCCTGCGCACCACAACAAAGACCCAACGCAGCCAAAAAAAAAAAAAAAAGACTTAGCCTTCCAATGAAGGGGGTGCCGGTTCAATCCCTGGTGGGGGAGCTAAGATTCCCACATGTCTTGAGGCCAAAAAACCAAAACATAAAACACAAGCAACATTGTAACAAATTCAGTAAAGACTTTAAAAATGGTCCACATCAAAAAAAAAAACTCTTAAAAAAAAAAGGGGGGGTAAAGGAAGCTGGACAGAAGGAGTGAGTGGGACAGTGATAAGAAGTGAGTTTGGAGTAAAAGGTTGGGGGTCAAGTTCTGCAGGGCCTTGGTGGCCACAGTGAGGAGTCTGAATTTTGTTCCAAAATGGAAATTCACTGGACATTTTGGGGCAGGGAAGTGACAACATCAGATTTATATTTTTAAAAGATCACTTTGGCTGCTGTGTAGAAATCAGACTGTAAGGGGCACGACGGAGACCAGCCTCCAATTACAGCCTGCCACAGACTGGCCTCCTTGTTCTACATCCTTTCTGCCTCAGAATCCTCCCAAAGGCTCTTCTTTAGTATGCATCACTCTTCACCTCCATTTAGCCTAGGTAATGCCTATTCGTCTCTCTTTCAGAACTCAGCTCATATGTCATTTTCTCCAAGAAATTCTCTCCTTTCACACACACCCCTCCTGTGTGTGAGGAGCCCTTACATCTCCTTTGTAGCTCTTATTACATTTGCAATTAATTGTACAAATGGCTTAATGTCAGTTACAACACCCAGTGGCCTGCTAACTCCTTTGTCTGCTGATCTGTCCGTGAGAAAGCCCAGTAGGGCGGGGATCAGTCTGTATCCCCAGCACGTTAGCACAGCACCCGGTGCTCGTCCCGTGCTCATTGAACATCTGTCGGATGATTGAAGAATGGATACATTACATAGACTTTCTTTCCACTCCACCCCTCAAAAAAGCAAGTGGGTAGAAGAGGATTTGAAGATTTCCCCCCTCTTCTTCATTAGTAAAATACAACCATCCCTACATCCCTACAATTAATAACAATGATGATAAAAAGGTGAAGTGCAGACGCAGGGAAAGGAGAGTTAAGATCCCCAAAGTGCAGAATCCATTACGCCTACCGTCGACGAAGAGAAACAGCAGCCCCAAACGGAGGCGAAGGGAAATCCCAGAGCAGCCTGCAAAGCGGGGTGGGCGGGGCGGTAGAAGGGGGCTCAGCAGAGCTAGGCTGCACTGCAACACGCACAGCCGCGAGACGCGCAGGACCGGCGGGGCGGGGCCGAGGCCCAGCTCAAGAAGGGAGACCCCCCCGAATCGTCAGAAGGCGGGACGCAGGCCCTTTCCTCACGTCCTATTGGTTGTTCTGGGGACGGACTGTTTTCGCTGACCAGCCGTAGCCCAAATAGGGCGCAAGCGTATCTGGGGGTCTATTCGGAAAGAGGGCGCGGGAAGGGAGAAGCGCGCATGCGCCTCGTTTTTCACTTGCCAGCACACTCTGAGGGTTGGGGGAGATTGAATTCCCTCAATGAGTCCAGCTTACGGAAGTTGAGATGGATTCTTGAACTTCTTCCTTTGGGAGCCTCAGGATAGGGAACATTCAGTGCCCAGAAATTGCCCCGTTGGGGATCCCAATCTCATTTTGTCGTTCTGGCTGCGCCCTAACTCTCCCTCCCTGAAGCTGGGTTGTTATGATGGTGAATTATTCAAGAAGCCTTGCAGCCAGACGCCATCTATGGGCAATGCCTCTCCCTACCCCCTTCCTCTCCTGTAGGGCCCCACGGCTATCCCCAAAGTCATAGGGTCTCCAAGCTGTTTACAAGGCCCCACTCTGCCTTTTAATAACTTAATGAGTTTGTTGAGGACCTACTAAGTGTTAGATCCAGTGCAATGAGCAAGCCCCTGCTCTCAGGAGCTTGCATTCTGGGGGACGACACAGAAAACAAAAACAAGGTAATTTTGGATAGTGACAGGTGTTCAGAACAAGGCGGTATGATAGAATGGGGAGTGCTCAACAAAAACGTGAGAATGGAACTAAGACCCGAATTAGGTGAAAGCAACAGATATAGGGCATCGAGTTTCGTGTTGGTGAATAGCTAGCTCGTGCAAAGGCCCTTGTGCAACGCAGTTTGGCTGAAGCAGAGTGGACCAGGTTGTACCTGACCATAGTTTCATAAGGAGTTTGGAGATTATTCTAAATACAGTGGAAAGCCAGTACATTTAGGCAGAACTTTAATATGACATGATTTCTTATCACTTTGCTGAGTGGAGAATGGATTGTAGGAAGAATGGAAATAGATCAAGAGGTTGGGAGAGAGGGTGATGACTAGAGCTAGGTAGCTGGTGAGACATGGATGAATTCAGGGTAGGAACAGATGTGTTGGATGAGGGAAAAGAAGAAATGAGGGTGATTCCCAAGCTTATGGAAGGTGCAGCTAGGTGAGTGATGGTGCCACTTATTGAGATGGGAGTGTTGGAAGAGGAACAGGTGCTGGGGTGGGAATCAAGAGTTCCATTGTGGCCATGTTGTGTCTGAGAGGCCCATTAAGTATCCAAGCAAAGATGTCAAATTGGAGGTTGGAGCTCACGGCGAGGTAAAGGAGTTATCCACGAACACAAAGATGGCCTTTAAAGCCATGGATCTTGATAGGGCCACTTACAGACTGGAGGTAGAAAAAAGAAGAGGGCCAAGGGAAGCGCCCTGGAGAGGTGTGAACTCTGACAAATGATACCAAGACAGTAAAGTAGGAGAAAAATTAGGAGAGTACGATGTTTACAAAGACAAGAAAGGGAAAAATTCAAGAGGAAAGATGCTGATTATCCGGGTTAAATGCTTCTTAGAGGTCAAGTGAAATGCAGGCAGAGAATTGGCCAGTGGGTCTAACTTTTTTGCTTACTGAAAAATTTGTCAAGAGCAGTGCCTGGGGGCTTCCCTGGTGGTGCAGTGGATAAGAATCTGCCTGCCAACGCAGGGGACACAGGTTCGATCCCTGGTCCAGGAAGATCCCACATGCCGCGGAGCAACTTAGCCCGTGCGCCACAATTACTGAGCCTGCGCTCTAGAGCCCGCGAGCTACAACTACTGAAGCCCACATGCCTAGAGCCCGTGCTCTGCAACAAGAGAAGCCACTGCACTGAGAAACCTGGGCACCGCAACAAAGAGTAGCCCCCACTCGCCGCAACTAGAGAAAGCCCACATGCAGCAGCGAAGACCCAACACGGCCAAAAATAAATAAATAAAATTAAAATTAAAAAAAAGAAAAAAGAGCAGTGCCTGGGGAGAGGTAGGGGAAGGAGCCTGATGGGAATGGGTGAGGAGAGAATGGATGTTCAAGAGTGGAAGGAAGGAAGAGAAAAAACGTTTGGCTATGAAAAGGGGCAGAGATATTGTGTGGTAGCTGGAAATAGATATCAGCGTCTTGAGAGTTTTCATAACTATGAGAGATGCTAGAATAAATTTCAACGGTGACAAAGAATGAACCAGAAGAGAAGGGAAAATTGAAATTTATTGAAGCCTTACTTAGTGTGTTAAGAGCTTTACAAACTTTCGTCCTCACAATGTTTTATGGATCAGGCAACTGAGGTTAAATAACTTGCCCAAGATCATGCAGCTAAAGGTGGAAAGAGCTGAGAGGCCACCCAGATTTTTCTGACCCTTCATGCCTCATCACCCCCTTGCACAGGCATACAGCCCCTTGTGCTTGAACAACCGGGACATGCCTTTGCCCTGGCCACAGGGCCCGTGGTGAATCAGAGAGAGTTACTCTCATGCTGGAGGAACAGGACTCTATTTTCCTCCTCCAACGCTGTAAGCAGGGGCATCTCTCCACACAGCCTGAACACCCATGCAGTGCAGGACAGAAGGTCTCCCCAGGCTGGAGGGGCAGAGGCAAGCAGCAGGAGCCCCTAGAGGTAGGAGGGAAAGGGATACTTCTGGGGGTGTTCAGCA